ATTCTCAATTAATTATTTTCACATCATGGATCAGAATTCCATGGAAAAGATATTAGGATGTTAACAGTAAAATCGAGTTTGTATGAATGATGTTGAGTGAAACCCTTCCAGTGTTTCTGAAGCTTAATGCCAGAGCTACTTAACCTGGGTTCCAGGAATACATAAAAAAAAAAAAAAAAAAAAAAAATAGGCTTCAGAAATGTCTGTGACCCACTGAGAAATCCTAACATAAATTTTGTACGAAAGAGTAAGTGTGCATGCATTTGCTGGAGAAAAGGCCTTAGCATTCATCAAAATCTCAAAGAGATCCCTAACCATAAAGGTAACTGTTTCAATAGGGTTTTGAAGAAAAAAAAAAAAAAAGCAGCACCAATTCCTGGCTGCTCGAGTTCACAGAACATTTCAAGGTAGCCTAATTACATTCAAAACAGGAAGGAAGTGACTCAAGTCTCTGTAGATTTGGCATGTAAGACAACTAAAATGATACAATGGAAGAGAAAATGTTCTGAAACGCACAAAACGCTGCAGAAGTGCAAGGTAGTAGTTAGGGTGGCAACGGAGCCAAAGTTTTCCTTTGCCCCATATGGCCCACTGAGAACTAAATATATGGGTTCCAAGAGGAAGTCTGACTCTAGACTCATGTGAATCGAACACATTCACAGGCAGTTCAACTGAAAACAAGCAAGAAAATAAGGAAGTGGAACAAACAACGTTTTTTAGAGAATACAGTGGAGTTTGTATAACCCACACCAACTTGGTTCATAAAACATCTTTTTACTCCTCCAGCCCCTCCCTATCTTCAGAGAAAACTGGCTAGCATCACTGGCACTACGCAGGCCAGGAACTAACCACACGAGGTTAGAGTTATCACAGTACTGTTCAAAACCGACCTGCGCTTCCATATGACAGGACGAGCTCCAAACAGTTGCAAAAACACTGCCGCTGGAGGATTTCACTAAGATTGCTAATTGGGCGCTTTTGTGCCAAGGAAGCCATCTTACCTTTGAATTACTTCCAATTCAAAGCAGATAAATCCAAGCACCGAAAACATCTTAAGACACCTGTCAATTCAGTTCCGACTGCTAAAATGGTCCTGACCTCTAAATCTGAAAATTATACATGAAAGGAATGGTTTGGGCCTTTCAACGCCCCCAAATGCCTACACTGCCTGAACGCCCAGTGACTTTGTGTTCGTTTTGTAAATTACAATTAACCTACGATTTAGAATTCAACTCTAGCTGTAAGGGGCTACGCAAGTTCTGTACTAAAGAATACAGTACGAACAGGAAAAAGTACTTAAATGAGACGATCTTAGGAACAGTCACTGAATCTTCCTAATAATCACTGACTGTAGTACTCCTCATTATCCCCATCGGAAAACCGAGGAAATCAAGCCCCGGCCGAACTAAGTCACCAGCCCAAGGTCACCCAGAGGCAAAATCTAGTTGTAACTCAGGCGGTTCAGATGCCAAAAACTGAGATACGCATTGACTCCTAAGTGCCGGGTGCGCGTGCCAGACCCCCGGCGTCCAAGAGATTCTCTCCCGCGGAGGGGGAGCCGGAACGTCAGGAGGGGGGAAATCGTGTCCGGGTCCGCGGGACAGTCTCGGTGGAGGGAAGCGTCGAGGGGCGCCCACTCCGGACAGGGTTCCCTGGCGGAGCGGCGGGGCTCTGGCTTGGCTGGGGGTGCCGGGGAAGAGGAGGTGACACCTGCACCTCTGGGGACCGCAGCTGGGAGGACGCTCGCATTTTACTTCTGTAATGGGCCTTCCTGTGCATTGCCCAAGCCCCTTCCTGTTGAAGAAGCGGCCCCGGCCCCGACACCGCCCCCTTTCCGCAAGGCCTGGGACAGGAGGGACAAGAGGAAAGGGAGGGCGGCGGCCCCCTGCCCGCCCGGCTCTGACAGGCCCGGGACGGCTATCGTCCCAAGGCTGCCCCCGTTCCTCCGAGTCGCGGGCCCGGTCACGGAGTGTGGGGCTCGGCCTCCGGGAGCCGCCTGACCCGTGGGGGCGGTCCCGGGGCAGGGGTCCCAGTCGGGAGTGCAGAGGGGAGCGGGCCCCGCCGGAGGGACTCACCCGGCACGCTGCAGTCAGCGCACACCTCGCTGCTCCGGAGCCGCTTCGACATGGCTCCCGCCTCCTACCTGTCGGGCACCTGAGGCCCCGGGACAGCGAAGGCAGTGGCGGCGGCTGTAGCGCTTCCGCTCTAACGGGTCCCCACCGCGGCGCTAGCGGCGGCGCCTCTCCCCTCAGCGCCTCGCAGCCCAGGCGCAACACGCACGCGTGCGGAGGGGCCCTTCGGCTTTGGGCAGTCATGTGACCGGAAAGGGCACGTCGCCTTGTAGCCATTTTGAGTGAGGGCAGCTGTGTACGCTAGCGTCTTAAGTCCTGCTTATAAATCTTGAATTTGGGTCTCTTTCGCTAGGAGAGAGTCGCTTCCTCCCAGCACTGATTACTACTACAGAAAGCAGCAAAATCTAGTGAACAGAACTCCGTACCCACAATGTAATTGAGACAAATAACAAAGTCACTAGTATAACTTTGGCCAAGTTCATTTATTCTTTACTTTATTCAACAAATTTATGTTGAGCACCTACTGTGTTCCACACACTGTTCCAGGCAGTGAAGAAACAGCAATGAGCAAAAAAGGCAAACTATTCTGTCCTTATGAATAGTACATTCTACTGCAGTAGACCTACAATAAAATAAATAAATAAAATAAGAATTTGTTAGCTGTTTCTTTAGGTCGCAGTTTTAGTCTCACCTGCAAAATGGAAATAATATATTATCTAGCTCTAAACCTCGATTTGCTTTTGTATGGCCTGCTACTTAAGAATGATTTTTATAATTTTAAAATGTGGAAAAGAAGAGGAAGAGGAAGAGGAAGAAGAATATTCAACAAACTGCATATGTGGCCTGCAGAACTAAATATTTACTATTTAGCTAAGGACAAATGGAATAATTCACAGAAAAATGCTGTGTGCCTGCCCCATAGTAGGCCCTCAATAATTGTAGCTCCTATTATTATTGGTATTTGGTATTACTATTATTTTCTAATCACAGTTTGTTTCTTTGAGAATAAGAATAGATAACCTACAGTAGTTTATAGGATACTGTGAGGTAAACACAATGAGATGAATTTAATCAGTGTGAAGGAGAGAAGTGGCCCTAATACTAATGAATATTTATTGTGTTTGTTATATGTGTCAATTGAGCACAAAAGAGGCAGGAGGCTTTGACTACAAATAAATGACAAAGATTTATTCGAGTGTCTTAAGTTCTTCATTCCTTCCTAAATCCTTCAGAGGATTATCTACAGGAATTTCTATCTTTAGGCATTGGTGCATAACTGGAAAGTTCAAAATTTTAAGTCCTCAAGCTCAAGCTTCTTAAAGTATTCTATTCCTCATGCTTCAGCCCATTTGGTCTGGACCAGTTTTGTCAATTTAACTATACAGACTCCATTTTAAGTCAGATTAGCTTTACTGACTCGACCTTGTTGTCTTCACTCATCCTTACATGTAAACACAGCTATGAGCTCCATTCAGCAAGTATTTGGATGCCTCTTACGGGCCATGTACGGTTTCGATTTTAGGTACTCTGGCAAGCAGCCATTGTGGTGTTTTCCAACTAATAAATGAGAGAGATGTTCAATAAATGTGGGATGAAGAAGAGAAAGATCAAGTTGCACACGGTTTCTGAAAGGATAGGAAGTCCTGGAAGAGGTCTCAGAAGCTCTGGTCTTTGGTCCCTCGCTGCATTTTCATAAACGTGTGGTGTGGGTATAACCACACAATTCCCAACAGTTTACAGTTAGAGCCTCTCTGGGTACTATCTTGCTGCTCCTGCATCCTGTTCTGGATGGTAGACTCACAAATCTTCTGGACTCAACACGCGTAGAGAATGGATTCGGCCAGGATTCTCAAACAGCTGTTGCAGGCAGCTGAAAAGCTGAATGTGCACAAGCAGAGGAGGCCGAGGGTAAGCTTTCTGGATGCATTAAATAACTTTGTCCAGCTACATGGTCTAGTTGCAGACAGCTGTGCAGAAAGCTCAGGCTGGTGAGTAACTGTACATTGAGTTGGTTCCCTACTGAATCAAGGAGCTGTAGTGTCACAGGTTGAAAATCAAATGTTAAGTTCATTTGAAGACTGTGGTCTAGTCTGGGTATTATCTATTAGTCCTTTCAGCCATAACCCAAAAATCAAACAGCTAGCTTCACAAAGAAATGACACTCGTATGTGGAATAAACCACCACCTTAGTTAACTGAATCATAACTTAGTTTGGAGTTCAGATAGAACAGTGGTTTTCAACTGGGGGCGATTTTCCTCCTCCACGGGACAATTGGCAATGACTGGAGATTTTCCCGCGGAATGCTACTGGCATCCAGTGGGTAGAAAGGCCAGGGATGCTGCTCAATATTCTACAAAGCATAGGACAATCCTCACAGAAAGAATTTTCTGGTTCAAAAATGTCCATTCCTTGAGAAACCATGAGCTAGAACTAACCCCGTATGATGCAAATATTTAATGCCACTTCCTCCAGGGTTTATAGTTCCCTCTTCAAAACTGGTGTTGCCCACTTCCAAAGTGGCTTCTGACCAATCACGGAAGCATCTGCCCACGTCCAAAAAGGCTGCAAGGGAGTCAGAAGCTGGAATGGTTTGGCCCAAGCCCTGTTGTCACCCCCTGACCGCAAAGTCGTTGGAAGTAGCCCAGTTGTGGACTGAACCATATGAGGTTGCTGGAGAAGGGGAAAGGGGCTGGAGAAGGGAAAAAGGGTTGGAGATGGGTAGACTGAGTTTCCCATATCGAGATCCTGGGCTAAGGGAGAGAATTTTAAATATTTTGGGGGATTATACTGTATCTGCTGCTGTGAAGTTGGAGGTGGGTGGAATTGGGTGAACCCGTCGCCGGCTGGCTCGTCTCGCCACCCCCCCCTGCGTGGAGTGCAGTGGTTCGCTCCCAGCACTTCCCCGTTTGGGGCAGTTCGGTCCCCAGAAGTCGGTTCGCGAGCTGTCAGCGCGGGCGGCAACGCAGTGGGGCGCGGGGTGGGCGCGGTCGATCGGGTCCCCGACCCGACCCCCCGACCTCCCGCGCTCCCCACACCTCGCCCACTAGGCCGCTGGGCTGCGTACCGCGCTCCTCACTCGCTCGCCTCTTTCTCTCTCGCTCCCTCTCCGGCCGCCGGGCGGGCGCCGGAGACCCCGCGGGGGCTGAGGCTTGGCAAGCGGGCGGTGAGGGCCCGGCTGCGGCCTCCTCGCCATGTCCTCGGCCGGCGACATCAGCGCCCACTTCCCTTTGCACCTCCTAGTCTGGAACAACGATTACCGGCAGCTGGAGAAGGAGCTGCGGGGCCAGGTGAGGGGCGGGGCGTGGGTCCGCCCCCATTGAGGGAAGGAGGGGGAAATCCGAGGTTCCTGAGCCCCCTGGAGTGTCTCTCCAGCCCTCTACGGTCGGGGCTGCGCAGACCCCTACAATTCTTCAGTCGTGGGGCAGTAATCATAACAGGACATGGACTGAGCTTTTGCTGGTGTGCCAGGCCCTGTGCCGAGGGCGTTATTACATTAACTCTTTGACTTTGCAACAGTCCTAGGAGGTAGGTACTATTATGATTACGTTCGACAGAAAGGGAAACAGGCGCCCAGAGATTATGTGCCTTGCGCATGGTCGCCCACCTATTAAATACCAAGTCGGGATTTTAACTGTGGCCCGCTTGTTCCAGAGCGCACGGTTTTAACCAGTTAGGCTCTAACAGTCTATCCCAAAGGCAGAAGAACAATACACACCCCTCACCCCACCCACCCTTTTTGTAAGGAAGGGCTTGGTTGGGTTTGCAGTCCAGGTTGTAACTCGCCCTGTGAACTCGGTGAACTTTGGCGGGGCATTTTTTCCTCTCCGGCCCAGGGAGACTGATGCATCCCAAAGTTTGAGAATCACTGGTGCCCAGGATCCTTAAAATCCCTTCTTGTTCTGAGGTATGTTGATTACTTGTCTTTTATTTACTGCCATCTTTTTAAAGCAGTGATTCTCAGTCAGAGGTGATTTTGACACCCCCCCCACCCAAGAGGCCAGGGCTGCTGTTAAGCATCCTACCCAAGTGCACCAGATAGCTCTCCACAAGCAAGAATTATGTGGCCCAAAATGTCAGTAGTGTTCTACGTGAGAAGCCCTGCTTTAAAGATATCTCAACAATTCTGGGAGTTATTGGTGCCTTCAGATTGCAACCTAATGAGCTTAGCAGCTAGAATAAGGATTTATAGTTATTTGGTATAATTGTTCACGTTGACTTCACGTCCTGGTTTTTTAAGAGATCAAAATTGACACTGGTTGTCAAGGAAAGGTAGAGGGAAGGACCATTGGTTGTCGTTTGGTTGGTGAAAATTGAACAAAGTCAGCATCGCCTCCTTTGATGAACAGTTGCTGCTAAACCTGTGCTTGTGCCCCGCCGTATTCCTTTTAAATCTGCTGAACACCCACTGAAAGTCAAAAGTCAATTCTCCATCCAAGGAGAATAAAGTTTTATTGTAGGTTCTTGCTCTTCATGACATCATGCCCCCAGAGTGCATGATTCACCATTAGGCCTCCTGGTATACCTGATGGGTTCATTCCATTTCTGTTACCGAGGGAGTCCTCCCTCGTTTTGCTCTTAACTCTGAGCCTCACCTTGGACCCTGTAAACGTGACTGGACAGTTCTGGTTTTTAGGTCAGCTGCACTGTACATCTGCACTTCCTCAGTACTGGGGCTGTCCAGCCTCTTGTGAAATAGCGAGATAAACTAACTACCAAGTCTCAGAACTCACATCCGATTTGATAGAGCATTTCCTTGTCATCATTGAACCACACTCTTTCTATACTGATTTCTGAAAACAGCCCACTTTCTAGCCATTGGAGGTGAGGAAGAGAGTTTCAATAAACTGCAGTTTATACTTATATGAAAACGTGTTGGATAAGAACAAAGTCTTGGTCTATAATCTAAAAGTGTGATACAGTTGAATTATCTCTTCTTCTTGCAAGCTGTGATGAAAAGTGTTCATTGAAAGCTCTCTATGACTCTTGAAAAACGTTAAGGGCTCTTGCGATGAGAAAATTCTAATTTTGCGGCAGATTCTCCTGGAGTAAGTTGGTCCTTAATGCCTTCCACAGTCAAGGAGGTTGAGGAAGACTGTTCTTACTTTCTAGTTATTTGGGTTTGACTTTGTTATTGGTTATCACTGTAGATAATTTCACGGTATACCTGTTCCCTTTGGGGAAGAGGTAGTTAAGATGTGCTCATGAAGAAGATCCAGTTTTGATCCTGAAAGTTAGCTGTTTGAAAGGCTGGAGACGGGCTGGCTTCAAGCGTGTGCTACTTTGTGCTCAGAAGGGGCTTGGAATGGATCAAGTGCTCTGCTGTTACTGTTCTGAAATTCATAACTACTTTTGAGTAAGGGGCCTTGCATGTCTAGTTTTCACGGGGCGCTGCAAATTCCGTGACTGGGTCAGGGTCAAGAAGTTGGTCACTGATTTCATTAAGATACGAGGCAAGGAATATTTTGTTGTCTTCCTATTTATTGAGATCCTCTCTTGATTATGAAACAGCTGCCTACTTCTGTGACTTGGAGGCAGCTGGGTGAACAGCCAGTACCAATGCTGATTAGGTTGTGAGAATGGGGATGTTCCTTACCCTTGCTGAATTGCTTCCTCACGTAAAAACGCATCAAGTAACACTGAAAGCTTACTGCTTTGCCGGGTGCTGCCCTGAAATGGTTCATGTGCAGTTTTAGACTGAACTCTCACTCCAGTCCCCTGGGGTGGGTGATGTTATGATTCCCAGCTTACAGATTAGGAAACTGAGGCTCCCTTGTATGCTTAGCCAGTGGCCGAACCAGGGTGTGAACCCGGAAGGTTGGACTCTGCCCTAATCCTGTATTCTTAACTCTCCCATTCTACCTCTTTGACTAAAAGCACCTTCGTTTCAGGGCTGTGGAAAAACAAGGCAGAGAGCCCGTCTGAAGACGCAGGCCCAGAGTAAATGGGCACAGAACCATTTGCCATGGTGGCTGCTGTTACCATGGTCATCCTCCATATTTAGTTTCTTTTACGTATGTCCTAGTTTTTCTCCAAGGAACGCATATTGATTTCATGATTAACACCAAAAAAATTCCTACTACCCCAGCCGTAAAACCAGCTGTTCCACTTAATGTTTCATTTGCCAGTAAGTTTCTGCTGTCCATTCCTTCATTCCTTCCATTCCACGGGTGAGACTGGAAGCAGGCACGCTGGTAGCTGGAAGAATTTTATTTTGTTCTAGCAACAGCAGCACAGAAAGAATCAAGTTTATTCAGATGAAGCTGATGAGTACGTGCTTCTGAGTGTGAGTGGATCAGCCCCTCAACCCACCGTCTTTCTCGTAGCTGGAGTTGCCTGTTTAGTAACTCACTTTGTCAGCTGTGAGATTGTTCCAAGCGTTCAACGTTTGCTCAGCAGGGGCACTTTATTAAGTGCCTCTTAACCTGTCAGCTTTACTGTCTTTAATATTCATCGGAGCTTTGAAGTTGGTTGGTGCAGGTAAAATGATTTGTGTTATGGTTATGTCGTTTGTCACTTAGTGAGAGAGGTCTGTTAAACATCTTTGGCCTTCTCACCGATGCTGGGAGAAGGAACGAAGGAAAGGGGACAGATACAAAGGTCAGTCAGTGCACCTTAGACAGGGGAGGGAAAACCCTCGGACCGGGTGGGGTCGAGGGTGGCAGAGGAGGCCTGGCTGTCGGGCCAGCCCCCAGTTAGTGGGCGAAGGCATGAAAGTCAGGCAAGAGGAAGGGAGCGGCCCAGGCAGCAGCAATACTCGGAGCCCAACAGGGAACCACCCTGGGGTGCTCACCCAGCCTGGGGCAAGGCTGGGTGAGGCCACTGAGTACACATTCAAGTCAGTGCCTGTTGGCTGGAGGCCTTCTGTGAGCCAGGGGCCGGGCATCCAAGAGGAAGAGTCTAGAACCTACTCTCAGGTGCTCCCCCTCAGCCCCCAGGAGCTCAGGCTCACCTTAGGGCGCCAGGCCTGTGGATACCTCCCCCCCCGCCCGCGACTTGGAGTCGGGGAACTAGTTCAGGCCACAGCTGCAGAGGACCAGAGCAGTCTGAGACTGCCCTGAGCTGCCCCCAGAGAGGTGACAGTGACAGTTTATAAAGCATTTGCTTCATGCTGGTACCAGGGCACAGAGGGGTTGAGTAATTCACAGAGGCTGGGGAGGACCCAGAAGTGGGCCTCAGACCTAGCTCTGCAGCCTGCACTCGAAACTCGGCCTTTGACTGCCTCTGAGGACAGGGTGGCAAAGAAGTCTTCGAGAAGAAAAGTTGGCGGGCTTAAATTACCAAATGACAAGGAGATGTGCAGAAATCTCATTCCTTTCCTTTTCAGGGGGCACTATTATAGTTAAAAGGGGTGGGAATTTTTAATTTGGTACAACTGATGATTGAAGAAACTTAAAGCAAAAACGATTGGTTTCGAAAGTGAATTCCAGTGAAAATTCCGAAAGCTCTTGCTCACTGAACTCACCTAATGAGTTGAAGACCCTAACCCTCACTATCAACTGTAATGAAATTTCAACAACCGTCTTTTAGGAAGAAAGTGGCAGCTTGTATGAAACTGCACAGTGTGGGTATATGATGAGAAGAGTTAACCCTTCTTAGTAATGTGGTTAGGCATTGTGTCTTGACCCTTGCAAGAACTCATTCTTTATTGCCCTCATTTTACAAGAGAGCAAACTGAAATTCAAGAGGAATTAACCTATCACACAATATATCGATGACATGGTTTTATATACTACAGAAAACACATGTACACATTGATTTTTAAATATACTTATTGAGACATAATTCACATGTCATGCAATCCACCCATCAAAGTTTATTATGCAGGGTTTTTTAGTATACTCATTGAATTGTACAACCATCACCATTATCAAATTCCAGAACATTTTCATAAACCCCAAAAGAAGCCCCACACCCTGTAATCACTCCCCATTTCCCTCAACCCCTTAGGCCCTACACAATCACTAAGCTTCCTATCTCTATAGATTTGCCTGTTCTGGACACTACATGTCAATTGAATTGTACAACATATGGCCTTTTCTGTCTGGTTTCTTTAACTTAACATGATGTTTTTAAATAAAGATTGCATTTATTTATTTTTAGAGCGGGGGGAGGGAAGGAGAAAAAGAGGGAGAGAAACATCAATGTGTGGCTGCCTTTCATGTGCCCCCTACTGAGGACCTGGTTCACAACCCCTGCACATGCCGCGACTGGGATTTGAACCAGCAACTCTTTGGTTTGCAGGCCAGCACTCAATCCACTGAGCTATACCAGCCAGGTTAACATGATGTTTTTGAGGTCCATCCATGTTGTGGCATGTATCAGTACTTCATTCTTTTTTGTAAATGAAATTCTTTTTTAAGAAATATTTTATTTATTTACTTTTAGAGAGAGGGCAAGGGAGGGAGAAAAAGAGGGGGAGAAACATTGCTGTGTGAGAGAAACATCAGTGTGTGGTTGCCTTTCATGCCCCCAGCTGGGGACCTGGCCCACAATCCAAGCATGTGCCCTGACTGGGAATCGATCCGGCAACCTTTCCTTTTATAGGGCTATGCCCAACCAACTGAGCCACACTGGTCAGGGAAGGGCAGTTTATTTTTACCCTTGGTGCTGCTTACCCTCCTTCCCTGCAGCCAGTGAGTGCGATGTTCTGGATATCTTTGGAGGCTGCAGTTAATGCATGTCCAAAAACTAGCATCTCAAATCAAGACAAAGCACATGTTCTAAGAAGTATTATGGCACTTAAAGTTTGTATATCCCAAAAGTCCATGGTAGTTTATTGTGTCCTTGGAAGAAAGTTCAGAGCTGCTCTGGGGAGGCAGGGCCCAACCATCACACTGAGCTCGCACCAGAGCAGCAGGCTCTTGGCTCTGGAGACCCCGTGCTGGTGCCGGAAGGAGGGCCGGCGTAGGAAGGAAGAGGAAAAGCTAAATGGGTATGTCCAGCACCTGGAAGGAAACCCTCAAGGGGAAATGGACTGATTGTGTATGTGCGTGTATGTGTGTGTGTGTGTATGTGTTTGCATTTATCTATAAACATGTCCACATACATGCCTGGCAGATCATGCTTCTTGTCCATAGGACCCATGGATATAGCTACTCAGGCCACTTGGAGCTCAGTACATGGTAACGAGAGTGGTGTTTTATTCCGACCCAAATGATCTTCTGTACTTTCAGTTTTGATTAAAGGCCTGCACTTCCTGTTCCACACTTGAATGCTGATATGTGCTTAAGAAATCCCCTGTTTCATTTCATAGGGTGGGTATACCTCAAGAAAGCCTTATTTAGACTTAATTTGAGTGTGGTTGTTGGTGATCTGAGGCCTATAGCCAGTATTTATTTATTTATTAGGCATTTAACTCCAGACAAAGAAGAACTCACTAACTATCATCTGTACTTACAGCCCCCAAACTCATATTTCAGCTGTGCCCACGTGCAAACATTCTTTGTCATATGTTGCTGTAATTAATGTCTAAATACTGATTTCTGTTTTTATACTTACACGATGTCTCAAACACATTGGCACATTTTTACATGATATTTCCAACTATGTGAACGCCAGCGTCTACTTTACAGAATGTGGAGGCTGTGGATCCCCGAGGCCGGACCTTATTGCATCTTGCTGTGTCTTTGGGACACTTGGAATCAGCTAGAGTCTTGCTCCGACATAAAGCAGATGTTACCAAAGAAAATCGCGAGGGGTGGACAGGCAAGTATGCTTTGTAAATTATTTATTTATTTAAAAATTTGTTTACTTAAAAATTTATTTATTTAGAGGGAGAAGGAGGGCGAGGGAGACAGAACACCAATTTATCATTCCACTTATTTATGCATTTATTGGTTGATTATTATTTGTGCCATGATGGGGGATCAAACCAGCAATGCCAGTGTATTGGGCCGATGCTCTGACTAACTGAGCTACCTGGCCAGGGCTTAAAATTCTTTTAAAGCCCTTTGTTTTAGTTTTTTTTTTCCAAATACAGGCCAGTCTCAATCACCATTGTCCTCAGAGTCATCTTTATCTTAAGACTCTTTCTCTCTCGGGACTCGGGACCAGGGCGAGGAGATGAGAGCCTTGGATGCTGCTGGCCAATCTGCAGCAGCACAATGGCCTGGATTGTGCCCTGGGCCAGAGGCCCTGGTGGAGAGCGACTACTCCTCATCTAGAAAGCGGCTCTCAGTGCAGACCCTCTCCACCACACACAGCCGGGGAGGCCGTATTCCCCGAGCCAATGTGATGGGAACTCCAGTGACTCCACCGGGACAGGAAAAATCAAAAGGAAATTATGGCTGGAAGTGACCCCTTCCAGGGAAATCCTGGCATTTCACCTTTTGTGCAAGTTCTCCTGCTCTTGGTCAGGGTAGTTTTGTGTTGACTGAGCCAGGATGTGTCCCAGCACAAGCCCTGCCTGCCTGATCTCCACGTGACCACAGTGGTGTGACCACGTAGTGAAAGCCAGCTCTCTGAAGACATAGCCAGGGTTTCATGACCAGCGGTAAGAGGGGGATAAGGAGAGGATGACAGGGGTTTGATCGAGAAGCTAAGACTACTCTTTTGTTCTCTTTTTACCTACTTAAGAGCTAGCAATAAGCCCTGGCTGGTGTGGCTCAGTGGACTGAGCACCGGCCTGCGAACCAAAAGGTCACCTGTTCGATGCCCAGTTGGGGCCCGTGCCTGGGTTGCGGGCCAGGTCCCTGACTGGGGGCGTGGGAGAGGCAACCGATTGGTGTTTGTTTCTCTCCCTCTCTTCCTCTTCCCCTCTCTCTAAAAATAAATAAATAAGTGTTTTTTTAAAGGAGCCGGCAGTAAGTCAGTCACACATGATAACGTGGAATAGCAGCCTCTCTCCCTCCAGGAAGAAAACGTTGGTCTTTGAGCTCTGGAGATATTTTTCAGGCTAGCTTTGAAATTTGTCAGCAAGCGTGGGAATACTGGGCGATAACATTCCTTGCACCTTTTCGTTCCCCAGTTTTGCACGAGGCGGTGAGCACCGGGGACCCCGAGATGGTGCACACGGTCCTGCAGCACCGAGACTACCACCACACGTCCACAGCCCTCGAGGCGGTGCCCGAGCTGCTCCAGAAGATTCTGGAGGTACTCATCACATATGGCATTGCCCTCCTTTGAGTTACACGCTGGTACGGCAGCCGGAGACACAGTCTGTGACATTCTTGTGTGCTTTCCGGAAGAGTTTTGTGAATCATGAGTAAGATGTATGGAGTCCTAAACAGCGTTATCTCTTGCTTTCCAGCTTGTCAAATGTAGGGGGTCCTCCATAAATGGTGTTTTTAGGTCACTAGCCTTGCCCTTTGAAATGCTACCTAAAAGTTAGAACTAAGACAAATGAATGTCAAATAATGAATTTGTCGAGGTGCCCAATTTCTTAGAAGCAGCATCCCGAGCAGAGGTCATCTCAGCACGGTTGCATTGGGCGTCGGGGAATGGGCAGGGTTTTCTGGGTCTGCTGTGGTTCACAGGTCTGTGTGCACCTTCTCCTTGTCCCTCCCGTCACTTCTAGCCATCAGTGTTCTCTGCTTTCTAATCTCTCGCTTCATGTTATGCACACATTTTGGCTTTTGGGAGGTTTACCTGTCTTGCAAATTAACGTATATGGGCTTGGTTACACTGGGCTCGTGCCTTGTTTGGATGATGGTTGCCATTCTTCACGTAATTTTTGTTACCTACAGAAACCGACTGGCCAGTCAACTACGTATAATATCCCCAGGGCAGCAGGAGACGAGGACGCTTCAGTGGTTCAATTTTCACCCCATTTATTCTCAATTTAAGCACAGAAGTGAGCTTCCCAAAATACCTCCAAAGATAGTTGTTCCCTAATCGGCTTTACCACATTACTCAGAACACATTTCTTGAGAAAAATGAACAGTCCATTGAGAAAAGGAACAGTTTTGCTAGAAATTAGACAAGTTACTGCTCATTATCGGAGCACTCTTTCAAAAAACATTTCTGTGACATGCAAACTACATCCTGCCCACGATACTGATTTTCCACGTCCTGCAGAGACACCTTCCCTGACAAATGAAGTAGTTATATGCAGTGTTTCTAAAATAGGTGTGTGTTTGAGTTTATGACGCTCACATGGATTTATCATTCTCTTATCTAACTCACTGCAGGAGGAAGTAAAAACATCATTTATCCATTTGACAAAACAGAAAATGACTTACTTAACATGGAGTCACTTCTCATTGTAAAAATTCAGTGTAAGGGATTCTCTCTCTCTCTCTCTCTCTCTCTCTCTCTCTCTCTCTCTCTCTCTCACTTGCATTGCTCCATAACAGTGCACTGCATTGAACTGTGTTCTCTGCGTGAAGTTCAAGACCGCCCATAAAAGACCTGCGTGCTTATTGGCACCAAAGGCTGTTGGCATTGTCTCATAACCTGCTCCTCTTTCTTATCCGCTGTCCTCGGAGAGTGCTGTCGCCCATCCCTGGTCCCGTCATGTCCAACCAGGGTAGATTCTTGGTCTTCCTGCCTTGTGCTCCTATGGAAACCATGGCAAGACCTTGGAGGTGGGAGGGAACAGAAAAACACCTGGAATATCTAGCATTTCTCTTCTTGGATGGTAACTGCTGATATTAAGTTGGATGGTTCTTACTTAAAGTAAGTAGCTCTCCAAGAACCTTCTTTAGGAATTCACAGAAGGTCAGAAAATCGTCTTTAAACGGCGTTGCTGTGGTGGTGCCAAACTCCCAAAAGCCAAATTTTAAAAGTTTAAGAGGAAGGTGGGGGCAAAAGTCTTTTGTTAACCGGAGGAAAATGTCAACTTCCTGGGGAAGTGATGCCTAGCTGCCTCCTTTTGGTTTCACAGAGCGGTCCGATAAATGCGGAGCCCTTTTCCGGAACACAGAGCCTTTGACAGTCAAGTTCCCGGTGTGAACAGACGTTCCTTTCTCGCGGCACAGCCTGCTGTGCGCATTGGCTGGCCGAACTTCAGCCCATCCATCCTCCCAGGCTCCTCTTTCAGTTACTGTTACAACCCCCACTGAGCCCCTAAATCAGATTGGACTTTTATCTCCCTCCAACCTTATTGCTTTCAGTTAACTGTATTAACTGTCTAGACACTTTATATCAAGAATAAATCACAGCCTGAGTATAAAGTAAGCATTTACTTGGATGGGTTTGCAATGTCTGTTTTCTTCTTATTTTCTCTGTTCTCCCGCCCTGCCCTTCCCCCAGCCTGCCCCACTAAAAGACCCTGTTTCCCCTTACTAGGTTTATGTTCAGTTAATAGTACCAAGGGTAATTTCTTTTACCCCTTTGTCCTTCAGACTCCGGATTTTTATGTGCAGATGAAATGGGAGTTCACCAGCTGGGGTGAGTGGCTGTGGGCTTGTAATTTATTTCTGTTTCCAAATTTATTTAGCCTGAATATAGGTTTATTTTTCCTTTATAAAAGTTACATGTACTTTTTTTTTAATGTAGGAAATGCATAGGTAAGAAATAAGGAAAAATAGTCACCTATAACCCCGCTGAAGCAGAACTACTGTTAATGCTTTGGGTGCTTTCCTCCTAGTCTTTGCCCCGCACGGGACTTTTCCTCCCACGCGTCCATAAATACAACATGTAGAGAACTCTGTCTCTCCTGTCATTTCAAGCTGATGTTTACCCATATTATTTATTCTTAAAAGGTTAATATTTTAGTAAGATTTACCATAATTTATTCATCTCCTTATGTGTTTCAGCTTGATTCTTTTAAACTTGTTATTCTAAGGAAGATGATGAGATGAATATTGGAATAGCTGTTATTTTACAAAATGGATGTATTTCTCCAAACTCTTATGTAAGGCAAATTGGCTGGCAGTCATTTTCGTAGACGTTCTACTTTTGTTTCTTGTAGATCAGTTCATGACAGTTCCTAATCCCCAGTTTTCAGCTGTTTTCACTTCTAGACTTCCCTTTCAGGCAAGAAGTCAGATTTGTAATAGGACACTGAAATGAAGTAAAAATCTATATAAAACAAGAGAACTTCAGATTCTTCTATGAAATGAATGAGTTTTTTTTCCTACTGCAAAGAAGCACTCTGATTCCCGGTTTTGTTAAAAAGCAGCACATTGTAGATATTTTGGATGGTGGCTGTGACAGTGTGGTGGGTCACGGCCATATGGCAAGAGTAGCCTGTGTAACCAGAAAGGCCAGATGGACACACTCTAGCTCTGATGGCAGGCGACGAGAGAGGCTCGTTTTGTGATTGAGACTTCATTTAGAGCTTTCTCTGGACGAGACATAGATCTCCACTTTTACAAAGAGCTGTAGAGTGACTTCCCGAATCAAAGTGTGGCGGCCAAGTCCGGTCCTTTGGGAAGGCCACCGTCTTGCCACTCCCACCCTTTCGTTAAAGCCAGAGTCCCGATTTCCCGGGCTGGGGGTTCCGCTTGGCCCTCGGGTCTTTCTCAGCGCCGCGCGTCTCTCCTCCAGTGCCCTTGGTTTCCAGGATATGCCCCAACGACGTCTGCCGCATCTGGAAGAGCGGCGCCAAGCTGCGCGTGGACATCACGTTGCTGGGCTTCGAGAACATGAGCTGGATCCGAGGGCGGCGCAGCTTCATATTCAAGGGGGAAGGTGAGTGAGGCCGTTGCAGCGATCATCGCGCACGCCGAAGCAGAGCGGTCTTTAACCACAAATCAAGTTCACGTTCACGTGCCTTGTTGGATCCTTTCTGGGCGTCTTTTTGTTACCTTTTTCAGTTACTCATCTCTCAATTCCTGTCGTATCTCTTATCTATAGAGTTCTTTTCTGTGTATTATTCACGACCCAACGTTGTTCACCTCTTGACATATATCTTCTCATGTCTGAGCCTTTTGGTACAAGCCTCTGTCTTGTGTCTCTTTATATTCCCTCCATAATCAGGCATGGAACCCCCTCCCCTTATGGAGGGTGAGAAATGGCATGGCTCACCCAGTGTCATGTATAAATAGTTTATATTTTGTAATCATGTATTTTAAAGAGTTACCTATTTATTTTTAGAGAGAGAGGGGAAGGCAGGGAGAAAGAGAGGGAGAGCAACATCCATGCATGAGAGTTAGATACATCATTCAGTTGCCTCGGCACGTCCCCAACCAGGGACCTGGCCTGCAGCCCAGGCGTGTGCCCTGACCGGGTATCGAACCACAGGCCTTCCGGTTCGTAGGTCAGTGCTCAATCCACTGAGCCACACCAGCCAGGGCTAATCATGTATTTTAAAAAGCACACAGATACATGTGTTGTTAACAAAGAATGCCAATTATTTTGAAAGTTTGTGTCTTTGGGGAAGATGGCCCAGAGCCTGCTATGAGTTGGGGGGAGTTGGCCGGGTAATCCCCATGCAAGTAGGCAATGGACAACCAATAGTCTTTAGGTTTTAGCAGGTGGTACCAGGGAGGAACATTGGAAAGATGATGCATTTTAACACATGAGGCTTTCTTGTTTTTGCATCTTACTTGCATTTTGCTTAGTCGTGTCCTGGTTTCCATTAACAGACAACTGGGCGGAGTTGATGGAAGTCAACCATGATGACAAAGTGGTCACCACGGAACACTTTGACCTTTCCCAGGAAATGGAGCGCCTCACTCTGGACCTGATGAAGCCAACAGGCAGGGAAGTTGAGAGGCGGCTCACAAGCCCAGTCATTAACACCAGCCTCGATACTAAAAATATCGCTTTTGAAAGGTACGAATTTGGCTTCTGCATTTTAGTATCTCATCCCTTACTGCCATCTTTAGTGGCATGTATGTATTGATTGGAAATTAGGGGTGGCTTGGGAGTTTTCTAATAGGGCAGTGTAAGCACGAGTGTTTCAAAGTGAATCTGCTGTCACCAAGTGGAAACCGTAGCTGGCATCCTTCATCATGTACCATTTTTATAGCACATTAGCTGAGTCTTGGAGAAATGTCTTCATGTTTTTTTATGGGCCCTTTCTAATGAATTTCACTTGAATTTTATTTTTGTTTTGGTGTTTGGGGATCCACAAGGCTCCCTGATCCTAAACCATGGAACTCTGAGTTTCCAGAAGCTCGCACTGATCCACTTTTGAATGTGATTATACTGATTATTAGTCAGATTCACAGATTTCATATCGTTAAATATAGTTCTCACTTCCCAGCTCCGCTACTGGGAGGCCTAATAGTTTAGAGCAAGAGCCCGGAGGGGGTTTCAGTTCTACTCCAGATTCTGCCTGCAGAAACCTCAGAGAGGCCTGTGTCTCAGTTCACCCGAGTGAGGACGCCGTGTCTGGTCACCCGCCTCTGGGCTGTGCAGAGGCGTGTGGGGCCTCCGCAAGGGAAGCAGACACCGTCACGGCTGTCCCCCGAAGTGCGTCTCCCACGGAACACGCCGAACCGGGGGAGTCTGTAGGGGCCCTGAGCGTGTGCCCAGGATGTCGCATCCAGATCCCGGGAAGCCAACGCAGCGTAACGTGAGCTGCTGTGGGCAGAGTTATCCTGGATGTAGGCTTCCCGTTCTCCTCATAAGTACACTAACTGCCCTCCTTCTTCTCTCCTTCTTCTTCGTTTCCAATGTAAAAAGTATTGACAGAACTGTGGGTTTTCTGTTTAGTCGAATAGAAGACTGGTTAAGTGCCCTTTTCCTTTAGTTTAGATCGAACTGTGGAATGAGGGCGTTTATTGTAGCAGAAGAGAACACGAAAACAGCAGGTGTGCTGCTCCTTTGGTGGGGGAACCCCGCCGAGGTAGGATCAGTGCCCCCATCACCAGCCTTCGCTCACCGGCCTCCCCAGCTGACGGCCATCATCTTCCAGGGACAGCAAGGGTTAGGGACTGACTGAGGTGTCACCAGTAAAGGTCTTGGGGAGACATCTCCAGTCGTTGGCATGTGCCTCTGCAGACAGGGAGGGCGCTTGCGCTTAGGGCTCTGCTTGCAAAGCCGGAAGACGGAGGAGCCTGCCTTCACCGCCGTGTCCTGGCAGTGGTGACAAGAGCTGGAAGAACGGAGTGTCAGCAGCAGGGCTCCTAACCCCCTGAGCATCTCTGGGCATGGCTTTGTCCCTCCGCATGCCTGTTTCCTCCACGGGGAAAGAAAGAGCAGTGGACTTAGAGCTGAGGTCTCCGAAGTCCACGACCCTAAGAGGTCATGAGAAGAGCCACAGTTCCCTCTAGCTCCTCAGCAGAGGTTCTAGTTGTTTGTTCCTAAATGCAGTTTCTGAACAGAGTGTGATGGTTACTGGCTGTTACCCACAGCAGGTAGATGGGAAATGACGTCATGTTCCCTTTGTCCTGAGGACTAAGTTGCATTTAGTATTCGTGTGGTCACAGGTTTCTCAAATGGTTCAAGCTTATCCTCCTTTTGCTACTGACGTTGAGTTGCTGAGAGAGAATTTCTAGAAGATAGCTGCTATTTTTTGTGGTACTCAGAATTAAATTACGTGATTATCGAGCTTCTCGGGCATTGAGTAATGATTTCAGGCACTCTGGAGTGTGAGGTTTTCTACGTAGAAAAACTGTGCATACCTACTTCTCTTTTTTAAATTTATTTTTTATTTAAAATTTTAAAAAATATTTTATTTATTTATTTTTAGAGAGGAGAAGGGAGGGAGAAAGAAAGGGAGAGAAACATCAATGTGTGGTTGCGTCTCGAGTGCCCCCTACTGCGGACCTGGCCCACAACCCAGGCATGTGCCCTGACTGGGAATCGAATCATCAGCAACCCTTTGGTTCGCAGGCTGGCACTCAGTCCGCTGAGCCACACCGGCCAGGGCTGCATACCTACTTCTTACTGGCAGTATGAGTGTTCATTTGATTGAATTTGGAAGATATGGTAGTCATTTTCATCCATTTCTTTTTTCTAATCTGTTACTTGGGGGCTGATGCTTGCAAATTAATGTCCTTCCTGCATAAATTTTTGGCCTAATATATACCCTCTGATTGCAGTTTGGGTTTTTCCTTTCTCTGAAAGATTATGCTCTGCTCACCTTAAAACATTGCCTTACCACAATAGCTTTTCCCCAAATTGTGTAGCAGCCTCCAAGCCACGGCACTTGCTTCGCGGCCTTTGGTGGGGTGGTCTCAGTGGGGACAGGCAGAGGTGAAAATGGCAAAAGAGGGAAGCTGGATGTTCTCTTACCATTTCCAGACGCCTCTGCATGTAGAGTTAACCAAGTGCAATTATGGTTATAAACTAGGTTGTAGACACTGGTCTTAAAAACGAAACTGTCCAAGGACTTCTGGTCAAGATGGCGGAGTAGTGGACAGACTCTGTGAAGGAATTGGTGCCCGATTAGTGGATGTTGCCATCTGGTTTGGTACTTGTTCAGATTACCCCAAAGGGGATGCCTCTACCGGATGGTATCATTATTGAAGAACTATCGAAATAAGTTCTTTATTTTATTTACTTATTTTTAAAGAGTGGAGGAGGGAGGGAAAACGAGAGGGAGAGAAACAGCGATGTGCAAGCGATATTGTACATCTATTGGTTGCTTCTCACACGCCCCCCAGCTTGGGACCTGGCCTTCAGCCTAGGTGTGTGCCCTGCCTGGGAATCGAACCTTTCAGTTCGCAGACCGGAGCCCAGTCCACTGAGCCACACCAGCCAGGGCAGTTCTTTATTTTCTGAAAAACAAACAACACTAACCTGTCAGAGAGTGGGAATGGAAGAGGGAGTGGAATAGTCAGCATCGTGGACAGAGCAGATGGAGGGGAGCGAGGAGCGTGGTGGTTCCCGGGGAGAAAAGCGCAGCTCTGCTTTCCCAGCACGCGTGAAGGGCGAGGTAGAGCAGACCTGGGCATCTTTTGGTACTTCGGACGACCGCGTGCCAGAAAAGGATTACTTCCCACTGCAGTATCGACAGACAAGGAACAGGGGTTTGAATTTGTTAACCAAAAGGAGTATCTTGGTTTTTAATTATCAGTAACTAAGAGGGGGCTCTGGTTTATTAATCAGTTAGGTGTGACCCCTAGCCCCCTGCACCTACAGGATTATTTTGTTTCTGAAATGCCACTTGGACGTAGCTAGAACTTTGTATAATCCCTTTAGGATTTCTTTCTTTCCCTCCAAGGTCATGGTGTACTAATTGTGAACAACTAATGGGAAAATTACAGCTTTGGTCCCTTTCTCTGAGTGGCTGTAATGTAAAACATAAAACTCCTTACACTCCGTCTGGCCTAATTTCATCCACCGAATCCCATTAATAGAAAAGCAACCTCTTTGGGAACACAATATGCAAATAACTGCCTACCTTCTTGGTGAGTTGGCTGACATGCGACCATTCCTGGAGCTTCCTGTGTGATGTCCTCCTTCACTCCAGGGTCAGAGCAAAGAGCAGGCAGGTGCCCGCACGGGGCCAAGTGCAGCAGCCACAGAGGAGCTGGGACATGATGTCCTAGACAGAGGGGCGGGCTGGCTGGCCTCCCCTGTGAGTGGTAGCCCTTTGCAGGGTGTGCTGCTTTGAAAAAGAATCAGAGCCTCTTGGTTACTTGGTTCCTCAGTGCGTTTTTCCCAGGAGTGGGGTGAGTGCAATAACTGGGTTTTCGGGCACTTGATCAACGCTGCCATTGCTGCTGGGATGCTGGGCTACTTTAAAAAGAGTTCCACAGAGCTGGGATCGAAGGCCGGGCCGAAAAACTGTTTTTAACACCCTTTCCCCCTGCTGCACCAAGCCTGATAAAATGCGTGACTGACTCCCAGGCCATTTTGCAGGTATTGATGGTTTCTCCAAGCAGCTTGCCACAGTGACGAATTCTTGTCCCCACTCTCTCCCGAGGAGCAAGATGGTCTGTGCCTCCTTGGTCTAAGAATTCCTCGACTGAGACGTGGCTGCTTATGGGGACGGCCACTGACATCCGTGCCCATAGTTAAGATGACCCAGATAAATGCTCTGACCCAGATACCACCTTGCGGCGAGCCTTGGGACGCTGGTCATCCTCACTCACTTCTTTAGGGCAGCTGTCCAATAATTGTCACCACCTTTGTCACCTGTGCTGGCAGTTTTTTTAAAGAAGCCAAGAACAGAGGTTTTCTATGCTGGGATGAGGCAAATTGATTAATAGTTGGGTGGGGGCGGGGGATGCTTAAGCCATCTGTCATTGATAACATCCTTTGGTGGACAATTGGGCCGTGATTTCCAGGTGTCCTTCAGTAACTTAAGCTGGGGGAAAAAAACTGTAAAGGCTGCAGGGATGAATCTGAATGGCATATTGTACATGTAGAAATTTGTGGTGTTCACTTTTTATCAGAACTAAATCCGGATTCTGGGGCTGGAGGACAGATAAAGCAGAAGTTGTTAATGGTTACGAAGCAAAGGTAAAAGGAAACTCTTAAAATAAGATTTAATATAGCAATTTAGCTTCTATGCAAATGAGGAGTCTGTTCAGATTTTGTCATGCATCTGTGCCATGGAGATGCTCTGGGGACTAAGTACTGTCTAATGTGTCTGTCACTTGGATTTTTATCTCACTTGACTTTCAGAAAGTGGGATAGCGTGTCCCAAGGAGGTCTCTAGTTATGCCAAAGAGAAACAGTGTTGTAGAGAAATGAGTACAGGTACCAGTTATTCTGGTGGGAATGATCAGAAAAAAGAGAGAGAGAGAGGATTAGACTTAACATGATTGTTCATCTTTTTTAATAACCTGAGTGGGTTTTAAAAAAAGAATCATAAAGTGGCTTTTATGAGTCCCCCCTTTTTTTTTGTTAGCCTAGTTGTAACCAATTAGCTTACAGCCCACCTACGTGACATCAGTGAACTTAGAACACAGTGGAGACGACAGCTGGCATTTTGTCCACTGGACAGCCCTGTCTCCTGGGCCTTCCTTGGTCCTGCGGTCCAGCACGGATTGATGGCTCCGGGTGGAGGAGCCAGGCAGGACCCTCTGGTGACCTCTGAGCCCCAAAGAAAGCTTATGTCACGCTCAGCAAGATGCATTCAGTAACGGTAGTTCCAGCGCTGAGTGTGTGTTTCCTGAACCTTTGAATGTATGGCAGACACAGTTAACTCTCTGTTCACTGAGATATTTCATTTTCTAGACACCCCCAGTCAACCTTGTTAACAGAGCATCCACTTTGGTAGTTACAGTGATTTTTGTCAATATCCGGCATCCCTTTTTTAAATAGTGACTCGCTGGTTATAAAGATTATCGGTGTAGAGAACCTTGCGTTCACTCCTTTTCCCTTCTGCCCAGCAGATGGCTAAGTCAGTCCCGTTATAAGAGGACCAGAAATCAGTAGAAGTACTCAGGACAGGCTTGGATGCCCTGGCACCATAGACATCCAGGGGGGAGGCCTTAAGTGCAGGGCATTCTTTGAGAGCATTTAGCAACAAGAAGGGTCAGTAGGGAGATGCAGCCTGTCATTGTTAACTCCTCAGTATTTAAAACTCTCAGAGAGGCAGAGTGACTGCTGATGCATTTCTAAGCTGATCGCTTATGTATTTTCTCTGAAGGACCCTAATGATAACCATTTCTCATTTTTATTTTGCTGGATTTTTTTTTTTTGGCTTCAGCATTCTTGCTCTTGCTATGCTTATTTTTTGAGTTTTGATTCCCTGTGTCACTGTTTTCTCTTGCACACATCTCTCAAGGTTTACACAGTAAATAATGTGAGTGTGATAACCAAAATACGGACCGAACATCTGACCGAGGAAGAAAAAAAGAGATACAAAGGTAATCCTCCACACCTTTTTAAGCCCAGAGAGAACATCTCTGGGCTCTATTTGGCTTGGGGGTTAATGTGATTGGTTGTGCTAATCCTCACTCACCCTGACTCCTTTTTATGAAAATGCCCTTAGTTTGACTCATTCTTGGAGATGTTGCTCCTTCGTTGGCTTCACTTGTAATTAAAGCCATTCACGAGGGCTTGTTTGTGTGTTATAAAGTACAGTTGTTGGATGAAAACGTAGAAAAGGTTATTGGAGAATATTTGTCACTGGTATAAGTGATTTGGTCCGAACTTTCACGATGAAAGAACTTGGGCTCTGAGCCAAAACGCTGCCAGTACGTGGCGGCCACTTCCTAGCTCCGTCAATGGCTGGTTGTATGGCTTTGTGAGGTTACTGACCCCCTGTACCTCAGTTTCCTCAAAAATGAAATGGAGGTGCTCCTAGACCTTCCTTAGGGTTATTGGGGGGATTAGATGGGTTACTACATGTAAATATTTAGAGCAGTACCTGCAGTATGTGGCTAGCACACAGTAATCGTTAACTACCACCACCACTATTGTTAACTACCACCACTATTTAACTGTAACTATCACCACCGCTATTGTTAACTGTAACTACCACAGTACTCTTACTGCAGCTTGACAGAGGAGGAAACTGAGGCTTAGGAGCCATGGGCGGCGACCAACCAAGATGAGATTGGAATCCAGATCGGGCCCACTCCCAAATCCAACCTCTTCCCATTGTTCTTCTGCTTTAATTCTTGTAACTGTTGTTCATCCAGTTTAGAGATCCTAATAAAAAGTGCCCTGCAGGGAATACATTAGCTGATTGGTATGGTGGATGATTTTATGAGCCTGTCCGTAAATGGATTTCCTGATGCAGGTAGCTTGAATCAGAGACTTTGCGATACGGTGAGAATGTTTTCCTGCAGTCACAAGTAAAGTATGATATCAGACATTAAACTTTCCCCCCCTGCAGCGGACAGGAACCCACTGGAATCTTTGCTGGGAACTGTGGAACACCAGTTTGGTGCTCAAGGGGTAAGTTGAAGCAGCGTGCTTTCAGCGCGGTCAACGGGTGATAACTTTTCTGTGCTGGGGATGGCATTTCCCGAGTGTCGAACAGCCCGCTCTCTTCGTAAAGGCTAACGAGTCCTCCCCAGCTGGAATTCGAGGCATGCTCCTGGAAGAGAATTAGATGAGTGAGTCTTTAAAAATAAAGACTTTTAGGGGAGCGGTAGCGATGATAGAAATGGGGTGCTTTCTCTCTTATGTGTTACAAACTAGGCTCTCTCCATAAAAAAAAAGAGATATTAAGAAGGATTCAGACTTTACATTTTAACAGAGCACCTTGAGAAACATTCCCTCACTTGATCCTCACAGTAACTGTGTGGAATTGCTGCAGCGGATGTCACTGAGGGTCAGGAAAATGAAACCACCTTTCTCTGGTGTCACGAGCTAGAGAAGGACAGAGCTGGAACTTCAGCTCCAAGTCGTTCCGCTCTCACGAGCTTTCACATATCTCTCTCTGTCTTTCATAATCAGGAGATAAAAATGCAGAGGAGAGAGATTTTGAAATGGAGAAACCCCTCAGACTTGCCACGCAGTCTGGGAACACCTCTGTAGACTTTCTGGTTCTGTGCAGTAACTGAATTAAAGCATGTCAATGACCAGAACGTCCCTCCTGGTCTGTAGCCGGTTCGCACGCCCCCCGCAGAGGCCGAGTGCCCTAGGCCTCCGCTGGCGGGCCTCACTGGGCATCTCTGAGTCCCCTGCGTTCTGGCTCGGCAGGACCTCACCACAGAGCGTGCCACGGCAAACAACCCTACGGCCATCACGCCCGATGAGTACTTCAACGCAGAGTTTGACCTGAGGGACAGGGACATCGGGAGGCCGAAAGAGCTGACGATCCGCACGCAGAAGTAAGAGCGGTTCCAGGGCCGTCCCCAGCCTGTGGGCCCCCCCGTCTGTTTCAGAATCTCGCTGTTCTCCGGTGTCACTCTCCGTCATTCCGCGGCCCCGCTCCTTTGAAAGTGATTTTTAAATCACTTTATTTGACAAAAGCTAACAGTAGATTGACCATCTTATTAGAATTGACCATCTTATAGATTGGGTATAAGAATTCTCTGTTTTACTGCCAGCAAGCTTCAGCAGATCAAATGAAATGCTTCCCACCAGCTGGCAGTTTCTTCATGCTTGCTCTCAGCAAAGGCTCTTGCAGGTTGTGGTGGCGGGCACTTTCCTGGTTGCTGGATTTCAGAGCGACCCAAATTCCTCCTAGTCTAGTCCGGCCATAGCTCGGAAGTGAGAGGGCAGACAACTGGGAAGACGGGGGAGTGAGGCAGCTGGTGCTGTCCAGCCTACTGCATGGAGTTCAGGCTCCCGACGGGTGGTGACGCCCCCGTCTCTCCTCCGTCAAACCCTGCAGGTTCAAAGCCACGCTGTGGATGTGTGAGGAGTTTCCTCTGTCCCTCGTGGAGCAGGTCATCCCCATCATCGACCTGATGGCCAGGACTAGTGCTCATTTTGCAAGGCTGAGAGATTTCATCAAATTGGAGTTCCCTCCTGGATTTCCTGTCAAAATAGGTACCGTTAAAGGAACCCCAGGGGCACTTGCAGATTCTGCCCTTTTCACGGGTGACAGACTACACTTTGGGGGGTTGGGCCCCTTTAATCGCAAAGAGCACGCAGCAGGCTCAGCAGGGGAGGAGGTCAGAGTGCTCTGGTCTGATGTGGTTTAAAGAAGTGTCGTGGTCCTCGGTCCTTGTGCACATCAAAATTAGGAGAGGTCCCAGCTCTCAGTTCTGTTTATTGAAGGTGCTGACAGGTGTAAAAGGCATAAGAATGTAACATAGTCATTGTTGCAATATCAGACCTTAAGTGAAACTTCCAATTAGGTCGTTAGGACAATTGACACCAAGGTCCTTTGACACACAAATATGTTTTAGGGCCTGAGGTAATGTGCACAATATTGACACCGTATACAATCCATGTGACTTGTGAGGCATCCACGTTTTGGATAGTTGTACACACGTGACACTCGAACCCTGGCTCGATCACTCACTCACTGTGATCTAGGAAGAGTTGCCTAACCTCCCTGGACCTCAGTCTTCCTGTCTGTGTACGGGGAGGGACTGTATGAAATCACGCTCCTAAAAAGGACTCGGCCTGCTACCGTAAGCATAGTAAGCGCTTACGGCGAACTCCTAAATGATGGCTATTATTATTATTGTTATTCCCACTCAAGTTATTTATAAAAGCTTTTATTTTGTTAGAAATTCCCTTGTTTCACGTCTTGAATGCGCGGATTACGTTTGGAAACGTCAATGGCTGCAGCACCGCTGAAGAAACTGCGTCTCAGAATGTAGATGGGACCACGGCCAATTCAGGTAAAAGAAAGTTGGGGTTTGTGATTCATAAAAAAAAAAATTTATCCATTTAGTCATTATACTTATTATTCTGTTTGAAATTGGAGTATCTTGTAAAATAGATGTTTGTGGTGAATCAAGAAAACTTTAGATTTAGTTTAGATTAAGTGCAACCAATTTCAGAATATATATGACCCTACCTACATGAAGAACACAACATATTCTTTTTTTTTTTAAGATTTTATTTATTTATTTTTAGAGAGGGAAGGGAGGGAGAGAGAGAGAGAGAGAAACATCAATGTGCAGTTGCTGGGGGCCGTGGCCTGCAACCCAGGCATGTGCCCTGACTGGGAATCAAACCTGTGATGCTTTGGTTTGCAGCCCGCGCTCAATCCACTGAGCTACACCAGCCAGGGCTAAGAACACAGCATATTCTTAAAAGACGACTTTATTCAGATACAATGTGTATGCTCTGAACTGCTCTCAGTTTTAGGTGTGACAGGTCAGCGTGAAAGTGAAGAGCACAGCCAAAGTAACGAGCATTTCTGTCACCACCCCCCAACTGTCCTAAGGTTCCTTGGCCGTCAATGCATTTCATGTTTGGGATGCTATTGTAAATGGATTTATTTTCTTAATTGTTACCTTCCACTGATTCATTGCTAGTATATAGAAATATAATTGAATTGTTTCAGTTTTTAAAAATTGTGGTAAAATTTGTTTTGTGTCTTAGGCTAGTTGAAAGATACACAGGTGTTTGTTTCATATTATCCTTATTATTCTAAGTTTACAGACATGTATTACTGTCTTTTATATGTTCACTGTATTTCATAATAAATGAAGGAAAAATAAAAGGACACGTTGTTGGGACCGTGTGTATATACACGTCACGTTCCTCAAAGGACACAGAGTAGAACACTGTCACCTCTGGAAGTCGGATATAGGAGAAAGGGTATAGGGAGAGACATCTTCATTTTTCATTTTATAGTCTTTTATATTTTTTCTAATGACTGAATTAATTTTATTACTAAATAAATAAGGAAAAAGAGAAAAGCAGTATTCTGGTACTTTTGTCCATCAAGATTATTCCTCAAAATCTCTCTCATGCACTAGCAAACTTCTAATCATTGTAATACTTTGCGTAACTTAAAAAATGTGTGTCCAAAATAAAAGCCCTGGCTGGCATAGCTCAGTGGATTGAGCTTGGGCTGCGAACCAAAGTGTCACAGGTTCGATTCCCAGTCAGGGTACATGCCTTGGTTGCAGGCCATGACCCCCAGCAACCGCACATTGATGTTTCTCTCTCTCTCTCTATATCTCCCTCCCTTCCCACTCTAAAAATAAATAAATAAAATCTTTAAAAAAAAAATGTGTGTCCAAAGGCGGAGTGGAGGTTTATGTTACTAACCTGGCCACTGGCCCGCCCCCTTCTCTGTTCCAGCTTCCCCCACTGCAGACTTCGAGGTCGATCAGTCCGTGTTTGAAATTCCTGAGTCTTACCACGTTCAGGACAACGGCAAGAACGTGCACCTGCAGGACGAAGACTACGACATCATGCAGTTCGCCATCCAGCAGAGCCTGCTGGAGTCCAGCAGGAGTCAGGTGCCTTTCCCGGAACCAGTGCAGGGTGTGGGGGGGGGGGGTCTCACCCCGCCCTGGCCTCAGTGTGCAGCTGACCTGAGAGACTTACTCTGAGTCACAGCCTTGGCCTATTTATGGCATTTGCAGAGATTGTTTTATGTTTTCTACACCTGGTCTTTTCCAAAAGGTTATTACACGGGGTGAGGCAAAAGTAGGTTTACATTGTATGTACACGAAACACAGTTTAGTCTTGTGCTGTTGCTTATTGTGTGGTGTGCCCTGTGGGCCGCTGCGACCCTGCTCCTGCCCCACCCTGTGGGAGGTGCACGTCTCCCACGCAGTCTGTGCGGCCCCAGCAGCAGCACTCACGGGACGTCTCCCGACAGACTGCCCTTGTCCTCGTGGCCACCCGCGTGGCCGATAACTGTGTATCCTCTGGGGCGCACGATGCCCCGTCATTCTGTGGCCCTGAAACAGTCAACTCCTGCTGGTTCCCACAGTCCTGTTTTCTCTAGAATGTTCTCTGTGTGTCTGCAGTCCCCTAAGAGGGTGTGTGGATTCTAACCTGAACCTCCTCCTCAAGGAAGACCCGTCGCTGTGTCGCTGTGTCGCTGTGTCTGGTTGCTCAGTAAGGGTGCAGTGAAAGTGTTGGTACAAGGGGTGTAATCCCAAACTCTTTGAGTCTGTAGCGAAAAGGGGAGCTAAGAACAGGACAGGCCAGCATTAAGAACAGTTGCCTTTTGTTTTCTCCTGTGGTTCTTCCTTCTGTCCCCTCCCTCCTGTGGCTTCCTCAGGCTCCGGTTTTCAACATTCTGGTTTTATTCTCAAGTCGCAGAGCTTGAGTCATGTGGGCCCCACTCTTGCCTTCCTATGGAGCCGTTCTCAGAGCCATTCAGTTTTCCGAGGCCGCTGGCCCAAGGGCCAGACCCCAGGGCAGGCATGGTCCCTTTCAGAGGTCCCCTGGGAGAAGACGCAGCCCCTGGACATCACTGTCAGTCCAGCACACCTTCTCTTTCTTTGTATTTTTTCCTCCAGTCAATTCCTACATAAACCCGGTTGATCAAAGTTTTGCAGAGGGGAGTAGCCAAAGTCACAGACGATAGATTCAGTTATTCACTGCTTAACGATGTATAGTGGGGGCGCGTTCTGAGAAATGCATCGTTGGGTGATTTTGTCATTGTGCACACATCATAAAATGCGCGTACATAAACCTAGATGGCCTAGCCTGCTACACACCTAGGCTACATGGCCCCTCGTTGACGGAAACCCTGTTAATGTGGTGCACAACCGTATAGAAGGATGTGTTCTAACCTCGCTCTAAAAGAAGCACCTGCTTTGTTCATGTGAACTCTGCCCAAGGTTAGCTGCTTTTAACAGACTGACTTTGTGTCCAGCGTGAAAAGCTGTTAAGCAAGGTGATGTTCCGTATACTGCCTGGCACTGAGGCATCAATCTGAAGATAACTCAAGTCCCTATTAGTTTTTTACGCAGCACAATCAACAGTGAGCATGTAAATATTTTTTATTTTGTTCTCGCTGCTCTCATTTCCTTATCGGTATGACACCTATTCCTTCTAAGGGTGTTCACATCCTGAACGTTTGTTTCTCCTAGGACCTTTCAGGATCAGCTTCGAATGGAGGAATCAGCCAGACACACATGTACGACGCCCAGTATGAGAGGTAACCGACACAACTCCCAGCAACCACACGGAGGTTGGCACAGGCACTCTGTACACGTGACACTGTGCCCGGCAGGGGAGACTTGACTAGGCGTCTCTCCTGCTTCCTCCTGTGGCCGAGTTTCCAGGAAAGGGTGATAGAATTGCCGGCTTCTTCATAGGCCAGTGCTGTCGGCAGACAGGCCCCAAGGAGATAAATGTTTTCTGATTGGTCTGATCTGCAAAGACTGTGTGTGATCCCACAGGGTCTATATGCCTTTGGTGGGAAGTTTACAGAATTTTAAGGATGATGCCATTTGGGGGGAAAGCCATCTCAGAGATGATTAGATTTTTTTAAGGGAGGAAACCAGAAAGCTTTGTTTTACAAACCATTTTTTTGAAACTTTGGGCATATATGAAAACCTGTTGAATAATTTGGATTTTGCTTCAAAATACACCCAAGTTCAATTCCTAGCCCCATCACAGAGGAGCTGGGTGATCTTAGGAAGGTTTCTTAACCTCTCTGAGCCTCAGGTTTCTCACCTATATACAGCACCTGGGCCCCAGAGTTATGTGGGACCAAATGGCATTGTGCACACAGAGCGCATGTCAAGTACCAGGCATAGCATGCACCTGGTAAGCAGCTACGAAATGTAGTTGCTGCCGCCGCTGCCATAGCGATGATCATAATCACTGTTTTTCCCCCTCTTTTTCCAACCCAGGGCCATCCAGGAAAGCCTCCTCACCAGCTCCGAAGGCCTATGCCCTAGTGCCTCAAGTGAGAAAAGCCACTTTGATAGCGACTTGCAGCTGGCCATGGAGCTCTCTGCCAAAGAGCTGGAGGAGCGGGAGCTCCGCCTCCGGGAAGAGGAGGCGGAGCTTCAGCAAGTCTTACAGCTGTCTCTCACTGAGAAATAGACCTTTCTGCCCAAGGGCTGCACAAAGCAGGGGCTCCGGGCTGCACGCATGGGTGCTACAATGCCAGGACCCTGAGGCTGAGAGGCTGCACCTCTCCCGTGCACAGCAGATGGCAGCTGTCCCCTTCTTTATGCAGAGGTGCAGGACCAGGCACTCCCTGGTCCGTCCGTAACACTCCCCCGTGAAGGGGCTGGGGATGGGCAGGCCACATCCCCAGGCTAAGGGGAGGAGAGCCTTGTCACTTTCCATGAGCTATATTGGCTTGCAGGTCACATTTTTTCTACCAGCTTTAGATGAATACCCCAACCCCCCCGCAGGTCTGTATGTTCATCTTTACCAAGGAGTGATAACAAAACCAGTTATTGCAGAGTCAGGGTGCTTTTATACAGGAGAGCAGCAGCCTTCGTAGAGTGTGGTTTGTGAGAATTTTTGGTACTTCTCTACAGTTCTCCAAAGAAACGGACAGCCTGTGCCGATCTGCTCTTTTGTTTTTGCCTTTGTGTACAGGGTTCCTAGGACACCATCTCTGTTCCTCTCGCATCTTCACCTTGTGCCATTCCGTCCCTCCCCAGCTAGCTTCCAGGAGGAGAGGTGCACAGGATCCCTTAGATTAGGGTTGCCTCTCTGCATCAAATTAAGATACACTAGTGACCACGGATGTTGCCTTAGCCTTAAAACTTACTAATAATTTCCAACCACCTCACTTCACTTACTGAGGGGTCTGATTTGAATCCGTCAAGTTCCTTTGAGAGCAGGATCCTCCCAGGCCAAATCCAAGGCAGCTTAACCCTGGCCCCGAAGGAACAGCTAGGAGAACCTGAGCTGCAAGCGAGCAGGCTGGCCAAACTAGCAGATAGCACAGAACCAAACCAGCGTGTGTGTGTTCCACGCCCTCTCTGCTGCGGGATCCCCATGCAGAGGTCCAGGAAGCCCCTCCGAGCACGCGCCCTCGGCTCGCTTGAGAAGAAGGGGTGGAAGTCGGAAAGGGAGCTGCAAATGGAACCCAATGGCTCTGCATTCAAAAGGGAAAGTGATGATTCCATGTTGCTTTTTAGAGTTCAACATCTTTCTGGATAAATATATTTTTTAACAGAATCTTTTTATTATTTTTAAGAGAGAGAAAAACTATACCCATCAGTAGCAATACAAGGTTATACATTTTAACCAGATTTTCTCAGGCCTTTTTTGGATACCTTTAATAATTAACTATTTTGTCTAACCCTTCTGTAAATAACTGTCGCAGGACATACAGAACCCTGGAGAATACAGCCAGCCGGCTCTGTGTATTCATTCCCACAGGCTGCACTGAAATACCCTGGTAAACAATATCCTCCTCTGTTTCACGTCCGTTTCCTATCTGTTGGGCTTCTTTTGGGAGGGGAAGAGAAACAAAGCTACTGTTCCAGTTAACATCTGTATTACACAGTTAGCATTGCCAGTGAAATGTTCCTAGCCAAAAAGAAATGTGCTTTAAAAAAAAAAGGATTTTATTTATTTATTTTTAGAGAGAAGGGAAGGGAGAGGGAAAAAAGAGAAACATCGATCAGTTGCCTGTTGTAGGTGCCCCAACCTGGGACAGAACCAGCAACCTAGGCATGTGCCCTGACCAGGAATCGAACCAGCGACCTTTTGCTTTGCCAGCGACGTCCCACCAACTGAGCCACACGGGTCAGGGCAAGAAGTGTGCTTTCGATTCTATGTAACCGTCTGTCTCTTTTGTCATGGTCTGATCCAAATTCCTTCTCTGCACACCAGGCCAGTATATGCAGCATCACATTTGTTTCAAATATATACCTTGGCATTTTGTTTACTTAGTATTTACCTTGAGTGAGGACACTTCTTGGGAATGGCTGCAGTTAGGTCACATTGTTTACTAAGGTGAACCATAGGTATTCTCTCATTTGCATTCCATTGTTCTGCTTCCTGATGACTTTGTCCCAGGAAGTCCATTAAAAAGGTACTGAGCTTTTCGTCAGCCTGTCTGCAGCATTTTTCATGTGTGTTCACTCTCCTTTAAAATGCAAATAAAGACTGCTTCCTTAGAGGACGCTCATACGGTGTATCCTAGACAGCCTTCGAGTCTTTTTTCCTTGCACGCTGTCTTCCTAGTCACTGAGTGAACCCACACTTCCTGTTTTGTTACTGGAGCATTAAAGTGCCCTCCCAGCACTCAGTCGTGTATTCCAGGGTGACACGCCCCTCTCGGCCTTCCTTCCCCATCACACAGCCCAAGTGCCCAGTGCTCCTCGTTTCAAATGGAATCTGATGCAAGCCAGTGTCAGGGTTGCTGCTGCAAGACCCTGCAGCCCTCCTCTTGGCGATGGACTGGCTCTTGTGGGGTCAGGAAAACCGAACCGAGTTAAGGACTCTCATGTGACTGAATATGCCCGCACCTTTGAGGCCAGCGTGCTTTTTGAGGCTGTTCTCATTAGTTCAGATGATAATCAGGGCTTCCAGACTTACCCTACACCGAATATGCTGGTAATAAAGCAAAAACAAGGCAGTAACTAGTAAAAATTAAAAAATGTTTGGTTCCAGAAATCAGGCCTTGGTATTTCTGAGAAAGTGAAAGTGCTGCTTTGCTTTTTGGGGAAAGGAAACAGCAATACTTTGAGCCAGGGGGCACTAGGAAGAAAATTGTTACTCTCGTTGAGATGCAATACCTATGGATGATTTCATTCAAAAACTAAGTTTCCTGCTGCACACAGATGACATCAAAGACAAGCTGTACTATGGGAACTTCGGCCCCTGTCTAGAAATATGTGTGATTCAACCCTGAGATCCAGCTGGAAAAAAATACATTCATAATACTCCAGAGCTCCTAAATCTCAAGCAGCACTTGCAGACTACATTACCCCCACTTTAAAGAAAGTTGAGATTAGTATTTGCTAAAATAACTCATTCTTATGATTAGTGTAAATCAGATGTGTTCATCTACTCACTATGTATGCCGAGTACAGTTCAGTTTATAAAGTCTAGGGTTCGACTACTGGCCTCCCCTGTACTCTCAAAGATGGTCAGGAAAATAATTCTGTTTGAAGGTACTAATTGGTCAATCTCTGGTACATAAAGGCTTTCAGTATATGAGGTCTGTCCAGAAGGTATCCAGCCATGTAATATGAAAAACATATTTATTAAAGATACAAGAAACACTGTACACATAGGAATGATGCCTCAGTTCCCTTCAAAGTAGGCACTTGGGACCTCACACAGCTCTCCCAATCGCCATCAGCTGCCCCATCGTATTTGCCTGAATCTCATTAATGGTCTGAAATCTCATCCCTTTCAAAGGTGATTTTAGTTTTGGGGAAAGCCAGAAGTCACAGGGCACCAGATCTGGCCTACAGGGGGGCTGAGTCACCTGGGTGATTTGATGTTTCGTGGAAAAGCTCTGCCCAAGACACTGCATCAGCAGGCACATTGTTGTGATGAAGCTGCCAGTCACCATGTGCCCGTAGCTGCAGCCTTCTGAATCATCCAGTTTCTGCAGAGGAATGTTCAAGCTTATCACCATATCTGATGCAGATTCGTTGCTCTACTCATTCAATCATCTTGAATTTGACAGCCACAGTATACGGGCCCATATACCACCCCTAGACTCGTAGAGTGAAGTCATTGTTCACACATGTCCATTCCAGTCCAGTCTCCTTGGCTGCCAGGTTATATCGATGTCACACAAACCATTCCCATGTTAAGATTGATTGGACTTCTCTCCCCCGCCCCAAAAGAGCTGATGTTTTTATCTTCGCTTGTCTCTTTGTAATAAGCCTCTTTCTACAGAGATTATTTGTCTTTAGCTTGAAATCTCCTACTGAACCGATGGTAACATCTGAATGAGGCTGTAGGCTGGGTTTTGGATTTCTACAGAAAATAACTATTCCAAGTTTCTTTTTTCAGAAAATGAACATGATCCTACTACCTGGCCGGTAAACACACAGCAGGTCACAAGGTTTATAGGCCTGGCAAGTTTTCACTGTTTCTTTTCAAAATCCTAAAAATGGCAATAAACTTTTTGGCAGCACATCAAAATATAGCATTCCAGATGAGGTGGGACTTAACTCTGGCAGTGCCAGTCTCTCAGAATCCCACCCACCCCTCCTTCCAGTCAGTAACCACAGATTTCCATGGGAGAGGCTAACCGCAGTAATCCCACCTTCATTTGTGTTAGTTTCCAAATGATTTCATCTTCATGGTAAATAAGAAAGTGCGTGTCCCCCCATTTCACCGATGAGAAACTGAGGCTCTGGAGAAGTTAATAAGCCTGTTTGTAGCTGGAGCTAGGACGAGAATCCAGGTTTTCTGATTCCCTGGCCCAGCATGAAAGGCTTAATGCTGGCTCAGTTTTCTGAACTAATACCTCGCCTTGGGGAAACTGTACTATTCCACATATGAATTTAAAATTCCACCTCACAGTGCTTCCTTAGGAGAGTAAATTAGACTCAAACACACTTGCATTTTAAACGCTTGGAAGGTAATTATGAGTACAACAGAATATAAGATTTTACTTTAATTTTAATTGGCATTTGCTGCAAAGCACACAACAGTTCACATTTGAATGGCTCAATGTTAGGGTTACAAACAAAGGCCTTAAGTCAAAGAGTTGCAAGATTCCACATCAATTATTTCACATTAAGTGCGGGTTGTTACAGAAAAACAATCAGTGCTGTGCCTGAATGGAGCACAAGGTAAGCATTTCAAATTAATAACAAAATTAAACCTAGCACCTTTAAAATAAAATAAATACTGATAACCGCCTTGTAAGTCTGAAAGTATCATTTCAACAGAGGGGGGAAATCCAGTTCACCAACAGTGCAAACAACCAGCAGCATTTTCAAAGGTGAAATTAAATTTGTGTAAACACATACCCACCCGCCACTGTGCCTGGTACAGTGAACAGGCACTTCTGCGGGATGAGTCTCCCCACTCGGGGCTGAAAAGAAGGAGTTCCCGCTGAGTCTATTCCAAATCCAAAGAGCTGCCATAAGTTTTAGGCCAAGGGCTGGAAAGATTTAAGTGCAACACAAAGGAGATCCGTACGTTTGGGCAGGAAGCTGTCCTTTCTCGGAGCGCCAACTAACTAGAAACATTCTCAGTCCAACCCCAGGGCCCAGGGCCTTCCAGCCCAAGGGTACACACGATCACAGGCCTACCTGTTTTGACCTTGACTTCAGTGGGGGCATCTGAGTGCAGAGCTCGATGCTACATGAAGAGCAAGGGCCTAAGTTCCCCCAGCTGACACTGAGTGCTTTGCAACCGGAGTACTTGAGGCCAACCCAGCATAATTAAAAACATTTGTGATTCTTAACCCATTGGCCACCAAATGGTTCTTAAGTTGGGAATGCCTGTTTACATATTATTCCTTCCTCTTAACATTTTCAAATATTAATGATTAGTCCTTTCCAATGTGGTTTTTCTGTCACAAGGTTGCTGTGTTTTTTTTCTCGTAAGGACTCCATCTTTACACTGAGCTTTAGGTCTTACTTTTAACAATTGTAGCCACATATAAAAAGAAACATTGAGAAGCAGACTCAGTGGCCAATTATTTGCATTACAGTGTTAGGAAAAAATAACTGCTAGATGTTTTTTCTAAATCATTTAGCATTTACCAACTGTCCAGACCAAAGGTCATTTCCAAGCAGGGAAGTTCAAATTCCGACTTCTCCAGTGACCCGTGTGCAACACAACTGATTCTGTTCCCAAACACTTGAAGAACTTGCTTGCTCAGCTGTCATCGACGCCGAATGGGCTTGTAGACACAAAATGCCATAAGGATCATAGTCACCAGCAGGATGCTGAAAACGGTTCCCATCAACACTGCAAAAGGAATACAGATTACCTCCTCATGGCAGCTCCAGGTTCTGTAAGTCATCCGTTCACCGGTGATGACATACAAATGCCACTCAGTGCCACGTGCGGGGGGAACCGCCACAAAAGACCTTTTCTCTGTTAGTCTCCATGAATTTGGGGTGGAGAACATAAACAAGTAAGAGCGCTTCACGCAGCCCAAAGAGCCGTGGTGAAGAAAACTGTAAAGTGACAGCGACGGGGGGAGGGGTGGCCACAGTAGGTATGATGGTGGAGGAAGCATCTGGGGTAGTCTCTCGGATAACCAGCAGTTTGCAGGTGCCCACTGGTATGCAGATCCCCCTTTGAATAGTACGATTCTACAACGGTGATTCTCCACCAGGGGGATTTTAACCCCAGTGCACATTCGGTAATGTCAAGGGATCATTCTGACTCCCTGGACTGGGAGTGGGGTGTGCTACCGGCATCTAGTGGGTAAAAGCTGGGGATGCGGCTAAATGTGTACAATGGGCAGGCCAGCGTGTCTCCTCTCCCCGCCCCAACAATGAACCATCTGGTCCAACGTGTCAGTAGTACCCAGACTGGCAAACCCTGTTCTGAAGGACAAAGCAGGATAGTGTGGAAACCACTTAGCCGAGCACTAGGTACACAGTAAGTGGACAACACACAGCAGACAAGAAGTTCATGTAGAGTCCAGACAACCCAGAAATGGTATCACGTGGCGACTTTGTAGATATGCAGATATACCAATGAGGTACAGTGGAAAGGAAGGACTTCAGCCAAACAAGATGCAGTTATTTTGAAGTCTGCCAAGCTCTAAGCTCCAGGGTCCCTTCTGTAGCCATGTACGCCTGTATGTATGTATATATGGATGTACGTGTGTGGCAGATACTCCCAAACAAAACCTAGGTTCTAGTACTGGCTGCCACCACTTTCTCGCTGTGTAATCTTGGGCTAATAACTTAAACTCCCTGAGTTTCATTTTTCGCATCTGTAAAACACAGCTGAAAACCATCGCTTCCTTATTTACCGTGAGGCTTAAATGAAATCACGTGTACAAAGCGTTTAGGCATAAAACACGGTACACAGGAAATAAGCAACAAATGTCAATTACCATTATTACTGATTATTACCCCCATTAGGAAAGAAGATGGGGGTGAGGTATATACTACATTATGCGCCCTTGTGGTCTCGCCTGGGCCCACACAGCCAGAGAGGAGAGGACCCAAATTGAGACCCTGGTCTCCGGACTCGCAGGTCATTCATGCAAGCAGCAATACCGAGTGCCTAGTGTGCACTAGGGCTTGCACAGAGCGGTGAAGCTCCGGCCTTCCTCCCCAAGCCTTCGGAGAAGGTCGCACCTGCATCTGCAGCCCTCATTCATCCCCTACCGCCCGCCCTGCGCGCGCCACGCTCCCGCGGCCCCAAGAGGCGGAAGCGCAGGCCCGATCCAGCTGCCTGTCAGCCCGTGGCCGCTCACCCAGGTTCTGCCCACGCAGCACCGCGTACGGCCGGCTCTGCTCCGGCGGCTCCACTGGGCTCGGGGCCTCCACCTGCCCCACCAGGAGGCTGCACAGGCCAAAGCACAGCCCCCAACACAATACACACAGCATCTTCCTGGACTGGTAGCAGCGAGAGTCCACTTCCGCCGGAAGCCCCACCCCTGTCTCCAACGGCGTACCGCCTTCCGTCACCTCCTCCGCTGGCGGCGTGAGCACCGTTGCCAGGGTAACTGTGGTGCCCGAACTCTTGCAGCCTCCAAGTTATCGTCCCCTCGCACTTTTAGGGGGATATCTGTTCTGTTCAGAGTATTGTCCACATCTGTCACCTTTCCGCTACACCCAACGTTCCTCCCTCCCCTGGGCCCCAGGCCGCTTTTCTTAGAGGTCTCTTAGGTACCTGTTGGATCTATCGAAGATTTTTTACGAATACGTGCGTTTTGATATTAAATCTTCTCTACAAGCCTCTGAAATAGACACTGTATTCCCATTTTACAAATGCTACCTTCGCCGGGACCTCCTTTTCTAAAATTGCAACCCTCCCCCTCTCTGTACTCTCTCCCCTCTCTCCCTCCTTCATTTCCCTCTTCATTCAATACCATTTAACTTACACATTTTGTTCTTGCTCCCTGCTTTGTCCCAGAGCCTAGAAGAGTAGCACATTATGTTCAGTGTGTGTGAATAAACGAGGAAATTTAGCTTAGTGAAGTGTTGGACCTGAACACTAGAATTTGACCAGGTAATAGTTCCAAATGCCTAGGTTTCCCCATCCCACATATTGCCTCGCCTCCTTGTTAAGGCTTAATTTGTAGTTATGTTGATATCTACCTCTCAATGAGTGTGCGATGCAAAAAAAAAGAGATAGAAAAGCACTCTGACAACACCAGATGGTTATACCCAAACTCACACAATCCCAAAGAGCAATGTCTTCATTTACGGGGAAAAAAAAGTGCCTATCAACTCCGCTGCTTTCGTATAATTTCCAGTCTACTTAGGAAGACAGATATTTAACAATCCATCACAGAGAATGATGTAGTTCAAAATCTTCATAGATGCTTTCAAGAGAAATAATAGTGACAACAGGATGCTAAGTTTAGGCATCAGGGAGGCAGGTGTAGTCCCCTTAGGCTGGTAGATTTCCTTTGTAGTGACCTGCCCTGGTAACTGGTAGAAAGCAGGGCATGCAGTGAACCTCCACCTGAGATGAGGAAGGAGAAAGCTTCTGTCTAAACAAGATCAGGCACCTGAATCATTAACTAATCTTAGAGATGTTTCATGACAAGTCAATCAGTCCATCCTAATAATGGGTTCCTTGTGTCATTAAAAGTTGATAAAGGTAATATAGTGACAGGCTCACAGTCCGTCCTGGTGGCCACCAAATCACCTTTCTAAGCCTCAGCGCATGAAGATATCTATAAAAGGGAGATGACCAAAAGAGATTTGACTTTGAAGTTGTTAGAGGACTGAATGAGCTCATGCATGTAACTGATATCATATATTGCAAGTGATTGAGATATTAGCTATTAATATTTTTCTGAAAAACAGTGTCTTAGAAAAGTGGGTTTGGCCCTCAAAATCATGTACTCTAATAGTTTGTGGATTACCGAAATGCCTAGCTTTATCTCTTCTTTCTTCTGCTGCCCATATTTAACTATTTATGTCAAATTCTCTTCACTAAAAGTATGAGCAAAAGAAACAAAAGGAGCCCTGGCTGGTGTAGCTCAGTGGATTGAATGCGGGCTGTGAACCAAAGGGTTGTCAGTTTGATTCCCAGTCAGGGCACATGCCTGGGTTTCAGGCCAGGTCCCCAGTGGGGGCCATGTGAGAGGCAACCACATATCAATGTTTCTCTCTCTCTTTCTCCCTCCCTTCCCCTCTCTCTAAAAATAAATAAATCTTTAAAAACAACAGGACTTCCGGCCAAGATGGAGGCATAGGTAGACACACTGTGCCTCCTCACACAACCAAAAATTTAAAAACAAAAAATAACCAGAACTGCCAGAAAATCGAACTGTATGGAAGTCTAACAACTAAGGAGTTAAAGAAGAAACACTCACCCGGACCTGGTAGGAGGGGTGGAGACGGGCAGCCGGACAGAGAGGACTCTCAGCAAGACAATGGCTGGTGGACCCGGCAGTCCCACATTGGCATGCAGATAAGCTGGGAGAACAACTGTGGAACAAGTCAGACCGCGCAACCGAGAGTTTCAGCACTGGGAAATAAAGTCTCAAACCTCTGATTGGAATCATCTGTGCAGGTTGAGGCGGCAGTGGGAGAAACTGCCAGCTTCACAGGAGAGTTTGTTGATGAGACCCATAGGGTCCTAGAACATACATGAACCCACCCTCTGGGAAGGTGCTCCTTCTGGAGCACCAGAAGGGCCCAATTTGTTTGTGGGGAGCAGGGGAAGTGACTGAAAGCTGGCAGGGAGCCAAACAAGCATCACCATTCCCTCCTGGACCCCATTCCCACCTACAGCGTCACAACACAGCTACGTGTGTTGCCCCGCCCTGGTGAACACCTAGGTTCCACCCCTTACCATGTAACAGGTACAGAGACCAAAAAAAAAAAAATGGCTCAAATGAAAGAACAGATCAAAGCTCCAGAAAAAATACAATTAAGTGACCAAGAAATAGCCAACCTATCAGATGCACAGTTCAAAACACTGGTAACCAGGAAGCTCACAGAATTGGTTGAATACGATTGCAAATTAGGGGAAAAAATGAAGGCTATGCTAAGTGAAATAAAGGAAAATGTACAGGGAACCATGAGTGAAAGGAAGGAAACTGGGACTCAAATCAATAGTTCAGAGCAGAAGGAAGAAAGAAACAACCAAACAGAAAAGAAAGAAGAAACAAGAATTCAAAAAATTAGGAGAGGCTTAGGAACCTCCAGGACATCTTTAAACATTCCAACATCCGAATTACAGGGGTGCCAGAAGGAGGAGAGGAACAGCAAGATATTGAAAATTTATTTGAAAAAACAATGAAAGAGAGCTTCCCCAATCTGGCAAAGGAAATAGACTTCCAGGAAGTCCAGGAAAGTCAGAGGGTCCCAAAGAAGTTGGACCCAAGCAGAAACACACCAAGGCAGATCATAATTACATTACCCAAGATTAAAGATAAGGAGAGAATCTTAAAAGCAGCAAGAAAAAAGGAGACAGTTACCTACAAAGGAGTTCCCATGAGTCTATCAGCTGATTTCTCAAAAGAAATCTTGCAGGCAAGAAGGGGCTGGAAAGAAGTATTCCAAGTCATGAAGGGCAAGGACCTACATCCAAGATTGCTCTATCCGGCAAAGCTTTCATTTAGAATGGAAGGGCAGATAAAGTGCTTCCCAGACAAGGTCAAGTTAAACGAGTTCATCATCACCCAGGCCTTATTATATGAAATGTTAAAGGGATTTATCTAAGAAAAAGAAGATAAAAAATACGAATGGTAAAATGACAGCAAACTCACAGCTATTAACAACTGAACCTAAAAAGCAAAAACAAAAAACAAAACAACTAAGTAAACAACTAGAACAGGAACAGAACCACAGAAATGGAGATCACGTGGAGGGGTACCTGTGGGGGAGTGGGAAGGGGAGAGAGGAGGAAAAGGTACAGAGAATAAGCAGCATAAATGGTAGTTAGAAAACAGACAGGGGGAGGTTAAGAATAGCATGGGAAATGTAGAAGCCAAAGAACTTATATGTACAACCCATGGACTTGAACTAAAGGGGAGGAATGCAGGTGGGAGGGCATGTTCAGGGCAGAGGGGAATAAAAGAGGGGAAATGGGATGACTGTAATAGCATAATCAGCAAAATATATTTTTTAAAAAAGGAAGCAGCCTAAATGCCTAACAAAAAAAGAAATGGGAAAGAGAGAAAGAAAGAAAGAAAGAAAGAAAGAAAGAAAGAAAGAAAGAAAGAAAGAAAGAAAGGAAGGAAGGAAGGAAGGAAGGAAGGAAGGAAGGAAGGAAGGAAGAAAAGAAAGAGAAAGGAAGGAAGGAAGGAAGGAAGGAAGGAAGGAAAAGGAAAGGAGAGGAGAGGGGAGAGGAGGGGAGGGGAGGGGAGGGGAGAGGAGAATAAGCAATTGTTTAAAGAGAATGTGCTGTGTGTAGTTACTCTCCAGGCACTTGGCCCTTCGTTCCATTGCTGATTCAGGATTTTTGTGGTGTTTGTATCATCACATACCCAAGTTAATGGGAATTCTCCATCTTCCCATTTCACTGATTGCACTAATAGTTTCCTTCTGCTGAAATTTTAAAGGAAACTTAAAACACACAATGATCAAATGAACACAAGAGCTGAACTGTGACAACAGAGGTCAAGGTGGCAGGTCACTTGTTTTGGTGGCATTTTTGTGTATATCTTTGCTCCCAACCACTTAGGTTCTCTAGTCCTTCTGGGCTGGAGTGTTGTTGAAAGGTCTCCCTTAGAACCAGCATCTGCTATGCAACATTCATGTCCACAGTGAACTCCTGGCACTTTGTTAAATGACCAAGACCTCAGTCTGGAGAGGGACTGAGCTGGTTGGGTGGGGAGCTGCTGCTCTGATTTTGCGTCACACTGAGTGCAGTCACTAAACCACTGAGACTGCTGGAGGGAGGGTGGCAGAGAGCACAGAGGCCAGGACGCAGTGACTGCTCTGTCATGCCTTCACCACCCTGCCACCAACCCTTTAGAGTTGTACAATAACTGTTCTTACGAAAAGTTATTCTATGTTACAGTTGTGTAAATACATAAGGAATACTGACATTATTACGTTTTATTTTTTATTTTTAAAGATTTTATTTTTTTTAAGATTGTATTTATTTATTTTTAGAGAGAAGGGAAGGGAAGGAGAAAGAGAGGGAGAGAAACATCAATGTGTGGTCACCTCTCACACACCCCCGACCAGGGACCTGACCAACAACCCAGGCATGTGCCTTAGACTGGGAATTGAACCAGCAACTCTCTGGTTCACAGGCCCGTGCTCAATCCACTGAGCCACACCAGCCAGGGCACATTATTATATTTTACATTGCATCTCAACATTGCATGTTGATCTCTGGAAACTGATGTCGTGTTTGGTTCCAGTTTGCAGTGGAAGATGGGCCTGCTTTTATCAGCACACTGAAGCCCTGGACAATGGAGTGAGGACAGAAGGGGGGT